CAAATTAAAGATGGCCTGTATCAATTGGATCTACCTTCCAAGTCCTTTTCTGGTGCTACGTACATTTGTTGGTGTTCCTACTTCTTTGTCCACTTGGCACAATAGATTGGACCATCCATCCATGAAGATTGTGAAGCATGTTATTGCCTCTCATCCTCTTCCAATATCCTCATCTAAATCAGTGGAGTTTTGTGACTCATGCCAATTAGGCAAGAATCATTGTTCCAAGTTCCTCTACTTTAGGATATTATATTTTCAGATTTATTATGGGGTATCACCCTTGTTGATTCTATTGATGGATATTGGTATTACCTTATTTTTGTTGATGGATACAGTAGATTCATGTGGATTTACCCATTTACTTAGAAATCTGAAGTTTTCTCTGTTTTTATTAAATTCAAAGCTTTTGTTGAAACTCAATTTGAACGAAAAATTAAATGCTTGCAAACAGATGGCGGCAGTGAATTTTCTAAGCTTAAATTCTTACAACTCATGGCATCCATCATAGGCTTTCATGTCCTCATACACAATAACAAAATGTCTCTACTTAACGGTGCCATCGTCACATCGTAGAAACTGGCTTAACATTGTCGGCTCAATCTTTAGTTCCTACTAATTACTAAATATTGGCATGATGCCTTTCGTACTGCTATACACACACACACACACACTTAATCAATCAGCTTAATTCCTACGTGTTCTTATTTACAAAAGCCCATATGAGTTAATTACTTGGCAAGACACCATCATACACAGAACTGAAAGTCTTTGGCTGCCAATGCTTCCCTAATCTCAGACCTTACACTCATCATAAACTGCAGTTGCACTCTCAAAGCAGCATGTTCCTCGGCTACTTGGAATCATACAAGGGGTACAAGTGTTCGCACTTGTCCTCTGGTCGTATCCATTATTCTCAGGATGTGATATTCAATGAAAGTAGTGCCTTCCCGTTTCAGTCATCAACATCATTGACTCCAAAATGTTATCCACCTTCACATGTTCTTGGGCTTCCCCTTGTTCTTGATACATAGCCTCTAGTTTCCTTAAACCCCACTTATAAGGATCATGCACCATTGGACTCCCACSCTTTCGTCCCTACTAACAGTCCTCTGTGTACCTCCTCCCACCCTGTTGTTGTTTAGCCATCTACCCAGCCCACTTCAACACCATTAATTCAACCCATGTCTACTGTCAATGTTGCTCCTTTCACCTGAATCGTTACCTATCTCACCTATTGGGCCCTTAGTTCCCAATGACTATTAGATCCAAAAGTGGCCTTTTGAAGCCCAATACCTATGCTAGTATCGAATATCCTCCTTAGCCAGGCCCAAAACCTAGTTGTTTTTCCCAAGTCACTAAGGAGCCACTATGGTAGGAAGCTATGGCATTAGAATTCAATGCTTTAGTTAAGAATGGTACTTGGATTTTGGTCCCTCTTCCACCTAATGTCAAATCCTTTGCCTGCAAAACGGTCTTCCGAATTAAAAGAAAGGTCAAGGGATTGATTACCAAGACATCTTTAGTCCTGTTATTAAACCCACAACCATTTGTGTTATTCTTTCCTTGACAATCTCCTCTGGATGGTCTCTCCAACAGGTTGACATTCAAAATGTCTTCTTGCATGGTGACTTACAAGAAACTGTTTATATGTGTCAACCCCTAGGTTTGTTAACTCTCAAAATCCACATGCAATATGCCTCGTAAGAAAATCCTTATACGGGATCAAACAAGTCCCTCAGGCTTGGTTTCACAAATTATCCTCATTCTTGCTCTCCTATGGATTTTCCATCTTTCAGTCAATTTCATCTTTGTTTTACTTCACAAGGCATCTCTCTCCATGTGTTTATTTATGTTGACGACATTATAATAACAAGCTCTTCCACAGTTGTTGTTGATGCTTTCATTCACTCTTTGGGTTCCTCCTTTGCTGTTTGTGATCTTGGCCCACTTAGTTACTTCTTGGGCCTTGAAGTCTTTCCCACACCATTAAGTTTATTCTTGTCGCAATGTAAATATATTTCAGATTTACTAAGTGTTCTTCATTTGGATGCAGCAAAACCAGTCTCTATTCCTTTACCGGCTGGAATTAATTCACCTCTCACAAGAAGGCAACAATCCTTTGTTTGACCCACAGGAATATCGCAAGACTGTTGGAGCCCTCCAATATGTTCCTAAACTCTTTTATGTTGTCAACAAGGTCTGTCAGTATTCAGTATATGTATTCTCCTACCACCGCTAGAAATTATGTGAAAAGGATTTTATGATACCTCAAACATACTATTGATTTTGGATTCACCATTAATTGTACTTCCTCCTTTTCCTTGAGTGCCTTCACAAATGTGGACTGGGAAGGTTGTCCTCATGACCGCAAATCTCATCATGGTGGGTTTTGTATCTATATGCGTTTCAATCTCATCTTGTGGTCTAGTCGCAAATAGGGGTGAGAAAATGGTTTATTTGGTTAAAAATCGAACCGAATAAACTAAAATTTTTAAAACCAAAATTTTAAATGAAAAAACGAACGAAACTGAAATATTGAAAAACCGAAACTTTAGTTTTGGTTTTCAGTTATTTTGGTTAAAACCAAATTTCAATACTATATATATTTTAATATATATTATAGTGTACGCTTTTATATATAATATATATTTATATATTAAAAACATATATTATACAATGTATATAATAAATTATATATTTTAATACATAAGATAATATAATACAATATAATATATTTTATACATATTATATATGTATTATATGTTAATATATATTATAGATAATAAAGCTCGGTTAATTTAATTTTTTTGATTAACCAAATTTCTAAACCTGAACCAAAACTGAAACTGAAAGTTTGCAAAACCAAAATAACTGAACAAAAAAATCTGAAACTGAAAATTTTGGTTTTAACCGAATAATGCTCACCCTTAGTCGCAAACATGCCACTTTCTCACGTCCAAGCATAGAAGCAGAATACAGGAGTATTGCTTGTGTTGCTGCTGAACTTCTTTGGTTTTGTTCTCTATTTTAGGAGCTCCACATCCCCATTTCCTCTACTCCGGTATTATGGTATGACAACATTGGCACTACCTATGTTAGTGCTAATCTAGTTTTTCATGCACATASCAAACACATTGAAATTGATGTGCATTTTGTTCATGAGCATGTCCAATGTAGGGGTGCCAATAGACTGGTTTTGGGTTGAACTTCGTCAAACCAAAATCAATTTGGACAGATTGGACAGACCAATATGACACATTGAATTTCGATGGATTGGACGAACCAATAAAGCATATTGGATTGGACCTGGTCCGTCCATAATGAATTTATATTGGATTAGGTTGGATTGAGCCAATATCTGGTCAATTGATAAAAGATAAAAACACAAATGTCAATGGACCAGATTTGAATTGGAAGCAATCTAAATTAACATGAGTTTGAACAGATTAGATGGTCTAGACATTAAACTGGACCAAGTCCATTTGTAATGGACTGACGTTGAACTGGATCGGATTGGACCAAATCCAGTCCAATTGACACCCCTAGTCCAGTGAAAGCTTCTTGTTGTCAAATTCATATCCACCAAGGACCAAGACGTTGACATTTTTCTTAGTGGTTCCTATTTTGTTTGGCTTTGTGGAAAGTCGCTGATATTTCTTGACTAATATTCACCTTGAAGGGGGTGTTAGAGATGTTAAAGCACTGGTTAATGTAAATGATTCGTCTCACCTAACAGAAAATCCACCTCAACATTAACTTCCACCTTCATCTTTGAATTCTATGCCTAATCTTGTAACGACTGCCTCTGTACACTGTAAACATCAATATAGAATAAAACTAATTTTCGTCCAATACATGAGTTCTTTCATGAGCACATCGAAATTTTGAGCCTTAAGCCATTCGTTCTGGTGGTAGCATCAAGCATCAATAAAGTGTTCCCTCTCTCTCTCTATTTAGAGAGAGCTCCCCCTCTAGTTTCTAGAGGTTTTCTCGATCTCTCTGTTCGTCGTTCGCTTTCCATCCAAAAAATTTCTTTTGGGGTGGTTCCCTTCGGGGAGTCCCCCTTTCCATTATCTTCTCTCTTTGTTTTTTTCTCTTTCTTTTGTTTATTTTCTTCCCTCCTCCCCTGCTTTCATTCTTCATTCTTCTTCTCATCTGGTCTCTCCATTCTTCCCACTAGTCTTTCTCTCATCTATTTCCCTCGCATTTCCCATATGGTTCTATCCATTATTCGTCTCTTTTTATGCTTTTTTTCTTCTTTCTGTAGGCATTTGACAAGGGAGTTACTTTCTCTTGGATTCTGTATTGGGCATTCGATCCAGTGGATGTTGCTTTATGTTTTACTGTCCATGTTAAAGTCCGTTCGCAGTTCTCCGACAGATGCAATTCATGGTCAGTTCCATAAATAGTTCTCTGGTGGATGTAGTTATGGAAGGCAGTTACAGTCTCGTAACGGTTGTAATGTTTGGGGCTTTGTCATCTTTTGCGGATCTACCCCAACCATCTTATTACCGATTCTTTGCAATCTCTTTTAGGAACCTTTCTGTCATTTCTTTTGCCATTTGCGGTGGATTGGAATTATGCTTATATACTTCTATTGATGATTTTAATTCACCTTTATTGATTGCAGAAGTTTGTCATTTTCTCTTTCATCTATTTATTTATTTTATTGTTGTTGAGAAATTATATCTTAATTCTGATTGGCCTTATTGGCAATTCTCTATAATTATATTTCTTGAATGAATGAAATATGCTTTTAAGCCTTAAAAAAAAATTTGAGCCTTGATTGCTGGGAAATCGAATTAAATTTTGAAAGACGTTTTTCGATAAGACCGAATTGAATGACTTTATTCCTGTGTGTTGTAAGCAGTAGATATTAAAACAAGTCGTTAGAGCCTAGAAGTTGATTTCGCCCCTAAAAAGTGGGGGACCAGGCACCGAAAAAATAATAAAATTTGGTAGTTGAAGTAATAATACTAACCGATATAAAAGGCAAAGAAGAGAAGCGTGTGAAGTAGATGAGCACAGCACCGGATGACAGAACACTGAGCTTGTTCCGTCATCCGTGATCATCACAAAAAGTTTAAGCCTGAAGCTGAAGGGTCGTGTTTGGTATTCTTCCAACTTCGAAGCTCCATCCAAGCTTCAGGGTGAAGGCGACTAGGCGCGAGCGAGAGGTTGAAGAAAATCTCTGCCACAGAGAGAGAGAGAGCGATCAAGGACTCCATTTCCTTTCTTCGAATGGTCAAAACAGAAGTTAACGTGTGACAGAGAGACAATAATCCAACCAAAAGCTATCTGAGAGCACGGGATTGGTCAGGTCAGGTTAGGTATATGTATATTATACTGTGATTTCAGAGAAAAATATTACATTACACTACTCGATTGTCGATCCCATAGGAAAATCACACTAAATTTACAGAGAGAGAGAGTGTGTGTGTGAGAGAAGACGGAAGAGGAGCTGCAGGCAGCAATACAGATCTAGAGATGGCGAATAGGTTGGAGAACCTGGTTGAATCGATCAAATCGAAGGTCAGGGCTCTGAGGAAATCAAAGAAGCCCTACATAAAGATGGATAAGAGTTCTAGCGTTAAGGTAGAGATACGGAGCAGGCAGGCCAAAAAGCTTATCGATAAGACCTTGAAAGTCGCGGATCGTCCTGGAATGAGAAGCATTTCTTGATCCTCCGTACTTAATTTCCAACTCTATTCTCCTTTTATCTATCTATACATGCATACCTCTTTTCACATGTTTATGGATTTGCAGGAGCTTGTTTTTCCGCATGTTTTGCTCTAGGGTTTTGAACCGTCTCGTTTAGCCAAATAAATGATAAATGTTTAATGTTGCTATTTGATTTGGTACAGAAAAAAAAAACGTCTTCTGAATATAGCATCTCATCTATATAAATGTGAATTAGTTATGGCATGCTTATAAGACGAAACCAGGAGTTTTGGTACTATTCTTTCTTGTGAGATGACGAGGGAAGAGAGAGAAGGAGTGGTTTTGACAAACAATGCTTTGGCTCCAAAGGTTTTTTATTTTTATATTTATATATAGTTTGGCGTAGGCTCTGCTTCATGTTCATCTCTATCATAAGTCTATGTATTGTTTGGAGAGCCCAGATCAACTGTGAGTCAGCCATTTTAAGGGCCGTCTGCTTCAGCCTCTTTGGGATGGTTGAAGCGCAATGTCAGACATGGATCCCACAAGTATAACCTATATAAATTATTTTGGTGAGAACCTAAATCAGCTGTTAGTGTCATTTGGAGTGCTGTTTACTCCAGCTTCTTTGAATAGCTTATCTAGAACGCTTAATGGTTAAATCAGCTTAGCTGAACTGAATATCTTATCAGGAGCACTTCAAAATAGCTGAATTAGCTTAGCTTTAATCTTCAACTCAGCACTCTCAAACGGGCATATCGGGTCCTTTTCCGATATATAGAAAGTCCTTACAGGAATTGTATCGGGTCAGGGCCTGGTTCAGAGGGTAGGCAGGACTTAAATCGGCCCCTTTGAACCAAAACCAAAAAAACAACTGGAAATTAAAAAAAAAAAAAGGCCGATACCAGCTGATATGCCCTATCGGCGTATAGGCCATTATCGATACTTTGAACCTTCAATGTATTTAGAACACCACATGCTTGCTTTGAGGAATTGAGGGAGGGAACTCGTAGAAGAATGTTAGTTTTTGAAAAACACTTTACTCAATTGTTTAACTAAGATGAATTTTTGCAAATTAATAATGATAAAGGTTCATGTACTTAATTTAATAAATAAATTCACTTCCAAAATAAAAAATAAAAAAACAATAATTAATCTATTACTGAGGTCTGAGGGTGGTTACAATGTAATATGTACATGTGTCCATATCTATAATTCTAATTCCATCATTCCATGCTCAGTTTCCATCATTCCATGCTCAGTTATGGGAACCAGGATAGAAGTGAGTGGGGATGGGAATGGGATTTTACAATTCCACATTCTCTCTAGATATCATTTTTCAAAGTACAATATTGAGTCACTCATTTTCAAGAATTGGGTTATAGGTCGCATGTAATGCCCTTACCAGTTACAAGTAAATAACTTATTAAATTCACAAGTGGTTCTCTTATATGGCTTTGACTTTACGCAGTGTTTTTAAAACGGGACCTGACTGGATGGTTGGATCGGAAAAACTGGGAACTGGTTACTTTCATTTTATTTTAAAATTGTTTTTGGTAAAAAATCATTGATTTGGTAAAAAAAACCGCTGATTCGAGCGATCGAATTGTCGATTCAGACAACGGTTTTTGGCTTTTTTTATTTTTTTAGTTTTTTGTCACAGTGGGCCATCTGTTTAGATCGAATTTAGTCCGTTTGACCCAGAAATCGGACCCAAAACGATTCCCTATCTGATCCGATTTTAAAAAYCTTGCCTTTACCATACAATCAGTTTTGATGGCTGAACCATAATATTTTCCTAGAGGTTACTTTTTTTCTTTTTAAAGGCATACTGCAAATTTCATTACTCAGAGAAGAGTCAAAAAAGCCCGTCAAGTAGTCCTGTCAGCATATAATAGACATAATACAATCTGGGGGATCATTAGACCATGTTATAGGATGATTCAGTGATGATGCTAAGCTTCTCAAAGGGTGTGAGCTACATTGTTTGCCAACTTGTACAAWTGGCTAAAGAAATGGCTTAAAAAGACCGAATAAGAGTTCTGCATTTGGCTATTTGATTATGTAAACATCAAAGAGGAAGACTATGTTCTTCCAACAGGAACTGAACTATATAATATTTTTGCAGCACCATCCAACATGATATAAACAAGGTAAGTTGCAACCAGCTAGGAAAGCCGAAGCTTCAACTTCAACTGAACAAATAGAGGCTAGAATGAATTTACAAACCACAAAATGGCTAAGATAGTCCTAATAATAATTCCAATCCCAATTCACCCCAACAGATATCACTTATGGTAAGTGATACCCATCTCCCACTTCCCAGGTGTGGTGTGGATGATTATGGATAAGTGACATCTGGTATGGGTTCTCCTTTCCCCTTTCCCCATTTGGTTTCTCTCTTTCTCTCCCCTTTCCCCATTTGGTTTCTCTCTCTCTCTCTCTGTTTTGAGAGAGGCTTCATCTCGAGTTTTCTCGAAGCTTTGTTCTCTAGTTTCTCTCATTTGGGTTCTCATTTCCCTCTATTTTTTCTCCCATCTGTTCGTTCTTCCCTCGCCTCTCTCCTTTGTTTGTTCTTCTCTTTTTCGCTGTTCTTTGTGCCTCTTTTTGTGTTTTATTTTCTTTTTGCGGGCATTTTGACTTGGGGTTTCTTCTCTTGGACTCTTTATTGGGCAGTCGTTACCGGTAAATGTAGCTTCACATTTGCCATCTATAATTGAGTCAATTCGTGTTTCTCTAACTGATACGGTTCATGGTGAGTTCCGTTCGCAATTCTCCGGTGAAGGCAATTATGGATGGCAGTTTCTATCTCTAGTAGTGATTGTTATGTGTGGAGCTTTGCCGTCCTTTGCGGATCTACTCCAACCATACTATTACAGAATCTTTGCAGTCTTTTGGAAATCTCTTTTATCATATTCGTTTGCCGTTTGTGGTGGATTGGAAATGTGATTATCTACTTCTGTTAGTGATTTTAGTTCACCTTTATTTGGTTGCAGTTCTTTATGTATTCCTTCATCCATTTTTATATTTTGTTCTTTTGAGAAATTGTATGTAGGTTTTCTGATTGGCCTTGTTGCCTTTCTTTCAATGAGATATGATGCCTAAGAGCGTTTTCAAAAAAAAAAAAAAAGATTCCCATCTCCCAGGTGATTGTATCTAGGGGATACAACTTAAGCTACCCATAAAACACTCCAAACCCTGACTAAGGTGGGATTTGATCCCTAGTATCCCCTACAACCAGCTAAAGTCCTTACCAACTGAGCCAGTTCGTACCTTCTACATGGGGCTCAGACATGGTCTTTATATATTCTAAAATGAATAAAAATTTTCTTAGGTGATTTAGGAATTTCATTAAATTTTTTGAGAAAAAGTTTACTCCGGTGTCAAGTAAAAATAGTGGTCAACGAATAAACATTTTAATTGCCAAACGGTAAAATAAAGGTGAACCCGAACTATGCAAAAACTAAATCAGGTAGCAGTTTACTTCCCAAGAGATTTTACTTCAAAACAAACGAAGCCCTATATTTCATGATCACCTTCATCTAGTTTCGAGTTTTGAATCGAGTAATGATAAATAAAACAAAACTACTAATAAGTAAAGACAAATGTGCAAAATGGGTTACTAGCAGACTTCTACTCCAAAACATCCATGAACTATTAGAATTTAATTGATTAGATCCATTCCCACGAACCAGAAACAGACAAGGGCAGTTTCAATCCCCATATAACATTGTGAAAATTAGACTAGACTGGCTAGTTGAACTGGATCCAATTAGAACTGGGCCTGGACCCAAAGACCCCTTTACAATACAATGCCTGGACTAGTGGACTGATCTCCAACACATTACCTTACCTCACCAGGTCCACGAAAAGCTACCCTTCCGTAAGTCATTTAGTATCATATATAGTCAAGAAAGGCAGGGCAGGGTCAGCTACTTGGCTAATCGCCTATTCTATAATCCCACCAAAATTTGCTTTGGCCTACACTTGGCCTTGAGGCTTAACCAGATTTTCTTGTCCAGACCGATGCAGCAGACAGGTCATTGAAAAAATTCCCTCTTAATGCTTTAATCCCTTGCCTCCTGGTGACATTGGTTGATTTACTGTGAAGTGCACCAACTTAATACTTATTCAAATGCCAAGAGAGAGATGGATATACGGTTGTTTCAAAACAAAACCCATTCAAGTGGGTTATATTTACAAACACCAGTTGCCACAACCTATTTTAAACTATTTGGAGCATGAATATGGATATATCATTACATCACACGCATTTACTATAACCTCAGGAAGCTATGCACTTACACCACATCAATCTCATCAACACTAAGCCAGTCGCTTGAATCCTTGCTCTCTGGATTATTAGCATGCGTCTGTTCACTTCAAATGTGCTCCTTATCAGGGAACTGACAGTTCTGAGACGGTTCTGTTGAGCTTCTGTATCTGGAGTCTTTTGTTGAAGTTTCTGAAATATATGCTACTGTTTTGGATTTTACAGGAATGTTCCCATCATCATCTTCCTCAAGATCACTGAATGATACATCTTCTTCATCTCCTAAAGGAATGGTGGTACCACTGAAGCCACCTAGATCAGAGTTATCCTCTAACCATTCGTCCCCATCATCTTCAAATTTCTGATCCAAATCCTTGGAAGATGAACCAAGCAGAAAGTCCGCCTTATCCTTGCTATTGACTGCAGGACCTTCTTCAACAACAGATTTATCAATAATCTGCATCTCAGAGCTTACAACTGGATGCTTCTCAGTCTCAAAATCTGTTACTGGTACAGAGGTGTATTCAGAAGCAAATGTCTTGAGTGACACAGACTCGTAAAGACTATTACATGATGCAGATAAACACCCTTCATGCACTAAATTAGTACCCTCACATTCATATGACATGCCTCTTTTGGGCCAGTCTGGTTCTTCTGGCTTTGTACTGTTCTGTAGTTCCTGCATCCACATTGTTCTAGCCTCCACAATCTGCATTGCAGAAAGATGCAGCACATTAATTAACAATTTTAGCAGACAATTAAACAGAAACATGAAAAGAAGGTTAAGAAACAGTTGGCAAGTTCATAATTTAAAATTTTATTAATGGAAATAGAAAATTAAAATTATTAGCAATTTAGTCTTATTCATTCCTTAAAATTGTTGTCCCTAGCTCTTCTGGCTCCTTCAACTTGGAAAAGATTACTTCCTCTTACTGTTGTTGTGGATAGTCATCTCTGCACATGCCCAAACCATCTTAGTCTATTTTACCTCATTTTATCACATATTGGAGGATGGAGATACTCCTAGGTTCCTTTGAACAAGTTCATTTCTGATCCAAATTTCCCATTATCCATTTCAACATTCCCATTTCTGCCAGCATTGCTGGCCTTGTAACTGTTTTATAAAATTTTTCTTGGTTATGAGCTCTGTACTGATTTCTTTTAGTTTCTAAGTTGAAAATAGTCATTCCTTAAACTTCCAACTCAAAAAATAAAATGCAGAGCTCACTCAAGGATTTTTTTTTTTATTGTATCGGTATGACATAAATGCCCAAACATATTTTCCTTGCTCTCATACTTGTTCATACTCTTAAAGGGCTCAGTTGGCTGAGTCCATTTTTGAAAAGAATGGACCTGGCAAATAATGTCCTTACAAGCATGAAAATCTTTAATTAGGCATTCTTTTTGAATGAACAACTACGACTTGGTTCTAATTAGGGGTGCAACTTGGGTGGGCTAAGGTTGGACTTTTGTMAAATTTTGAATGGGCCCAGCCTGAAGGTCCAAGCCCAAAGCAGTGTACCAAGTTGTACCCCTAGTTCTAATCCAACTGTTCTCTGACAAAATAAACATTAAAGTGTCATATTGATATTTAAAATGACATAAATGCATGTGCACTAAGAATGCAACTCTTCACAAATAAAGTGGCCCAAGCTTGTCCAAGACCCTAGCATGGGTCTTTATACAAAAATGTAAAATGAAGAAACCCTCAGCTAAGCAGAGGTTTCACTCTGGTTGCTAATTCAACCTCTATGATCTGGTAAGATAGCAGTGTCAAGGCATAGGTGATAAGGTGCCCATGGATGGTCACCTCATTTAATTGCCTACCTACTTTGTACAAAAATGTAAAATGAAGAAACCCTCAGCTTAGCAGAGGTTTCACTCTGGTTGCTAATTCAACCTCTATGATCTGGTAAGACAGCATGGTTGTCAAGGCGTAGGTGATAAGGTGCCCATGGATGGTCGCCTCACTTCACCTACCTATTTTATACATACCACCATGAAACACTTATATTCTGATATTACAATAATTGAATGTATACTATTAAACTAAAATATTCACTCTGGGTTTATATACTAGTTTTATTTTTCTGTTATTCTTATTTGCTAGGGCTCAATCAACACACATGTTGGCATATGCTGTCTTGAACCCTCAAAGACTTTAAAACCTGGACCAATAAATAAGGAAGAACTTCAATTCTGTCCAGTCAACACTTCTTTTCTTCTCATAAATATTATTGATTTTCTATGTTTTGATATGAAGCTTATACTTTGTCATGAAGTTTATAGATAATTATCAATGAAAGATGGTTGCTGGTTTTATGGAACCTAGGGAATTACCCTAGGATTCAAGGTTTTTATGTAAAAATTTCATTTCCTAGGCAACTAAGCAACAATGCGTCCCCCTACCACCTAGCTTCACCTTGGTGCCTTAAAAACTAAGATAGTATCCAAGACCAGGGAATCTGTCCCTATTAGACATTAACCAAACCACCACCTGGGAATGCCCTTCAATTTCAATCCTATGGAGACTATAGAAAACCATAAGCATGAAATCCAGAAATAGTAATAGGAACTAATAAACACTTGCTGGATCACTAAATACCATAAGACCTGAATATGCTATTATTATCATTCCTTCATTGCTCCTGAAAATACATCGGTTGCCAACTTGCCATGAGAACAGCCACAATGCATCCACAGGCAATACTACTAGGTGATGACCAATCTTCTAGTTGGCATGATCCCGTCAACACACTATTATCCAGGGTTGGATTCCAAATGCTAGGAATGCAGTCAAGAAAGATTTAGATGGTTGCTCCTTAGCAAAGTCAGGACTATCAGCAATTAGAGGTGTGCTAGTATATTCAGGTCCATCAGTCCATGGTCCATTAACTACTGCTATTGGAGCAGAGATTATAGTGTTGCTACAGTGTTGATGCAAGATGCACAGAGAAGCATGATCCAGTCAACATACTATTATCCATGTTGCTCCTTAGCAAAGTCAGGACTATCAGCAATTAGACGTGTGCTAGTATATTCAGGTCCATGCTCCATTAACTACTGCTGTTGGGGCAGAGATTATAGTGTTGTTACAGTGTTAATGCAAGACACAGAGACTAAGGTGTGATTGGGTGGATGAATAGGGAAATGGAACATTATTGGTTATTTATGGTATCATATCAGTGAAGCTTGGACTTTGGTGGCAAGAATGATCATCATCTCATTCTTCTGGGCACAAAATTCAGCAAACTCCCTAACAGACACCTTTTTTGAGAGCTGGAGTTAGTACTCAGTAGATCTGAATATTATCATCTATCACTTTTTTATTGCAGGGTGGGCAGGGAATGTTCCATAATCATTTGCTTTGTGCTGGGACTTTTGTGGTTTTCTTTGTATGTTAGATTTCTTGTGGGACCCTTGTAGTACTTCTATCAGCCTCTTTTTCTTTTCCCTCTATTTTGCTGGTATTTGATCTCCTTTTCAATCTTTTAGTAAAACCTGTTTTGCCATTGATAAAAAAATGTTGTTGTTTCTGGGAGGCATTCAATCTTTTAGTAAAACTTAGTTGAGTACTCAGATTGTATGTTTTGTCAATAGATCCTTTTTGCATTCATATTCCAATCTTCCTAGGCCAATTAATACCGCATCCATAATGAAAAACTGGAGTTAGGATTCACTAAATAGAAAAGTAAAATCATCACTGATAAGTTAAATCACTTCAATAAGCCAATTGAGAGTTCTAATCTTCAGTTCTCACTATTTTTTTCTCCCATAAGAACAGCAACACTAACAAGCATTTCAAGATCCATTCTTAGGAATTAGAAGATGCCACAAATTTCATTTTTCAGGTTTCAAAGTTTATAGTGTTAAATGTGAAAGTGCATCCTCTGCTTTTAAGCCATTAACAATATATAACCTCAATAACTCCATGAGGATATCTTAGCTAGAAATTGTGTTTATGAACATACAAAACGACAGGGTTAAATCCAGCAATACTAAATATTACGCTAATAAACACAAACATAGGCCTTATTGTAAATAAAGTATCTGTTAATGGGGAAGTACGTATAAAACTAGGCACAGATGCAAGGTATTGATGAAAGCAATAGGATAGTTAATTTCACGGGAACTAACGCACCTGGGGCGTAGACAAAAGCTCAGCATCATGTTTATTGAGCCTAGAATGCAGAAGAACAAAATAAACCTTCCAAAAGAATCCCTCACTTATATATCCCGGGCAAAGCTCAATCCTAAGAGCTGCCAATCTTGGAGCAAGTCTTTCAACAGCCAAAGCATGCTCTTGTTGGGTATCAGACATTTCAAAATCTGGAAAAAAGAGAAAGTTATGTGCATGGCATTAGAAACAACAACATGGAGAAATAACATATATTATATAAAGTTATAAACGGAAACACATTCTTTCCTGTAAAGGTTTAACTCTGAGATACGATTTCTGTAGATAAAGTGCTAAATCGCCATTCAGGAAAAGGGTGAACAATGCAGTTGAGCATCATTTGCTTTGTTTTTCTATTACTCTTTTTATTTGATAAAAAAATAAAAACTTGATCTTAATTTCAGAATTGAACTGCATTACTCATCCGGTAGTCAATTGCTTGCGCATTGTTCCTGCGTATAAGTAGACTTACAAAGGGTGTAAACTGCAGGTAAATGGGTTTCCGTGTAAATACGTTGTTTCACAATTTTCTCTGTTTTTTTTTTCCTAACCGAGAAGAAAAAAAGAAGAAAGAAACAAGTAACAAGTTTGAACTTTCCATTTTCAACTAGCACAAGGTCTTCATTAATCAATCAGAAGATACGGATTTGTTTTTTGAGAATGAGAAATTTGTTAATTCGAATATAGAAATCCAAATACCGTCTAAATCTTCTTCGTCGTGCAGAGGGAAATCCAACCACGTCTCCGGATGCATTGCGATATTCTTAGCGAATGCTAATACCTCATCAGTAACACCAATAACACCTTCAACAGAAGTGTTATCCACAGATTCCCCTTCAATTCCAAAGGGTGGAAGAAAAGTGGAAGCGATCTTCGAAATCTCGGAAACAGCTCTGGTACCGGATAGCTTGGAGAACCCAGACTTGAATTTTCCCCCAATCTCGGCAAAATCGCTACGAATTCCTGCAATTCCAGCCGAATCGGGGATTTCGGGATGGAAAGTTTCTCCAGATACGGACTGATCCGATGATTCCCAACGATTCCAGTCGGAGATGGTAGGATCAGTAGAAGAGATTGGGGGGAGAGGGGGAGGAGGAGGAGAAGGGGATGGAGATTGGGAAGTGGAGGGAGGAGGAGGAGAGAGGAAAGAGGCGACGCCCCATAGCTGACGGGCTAGAGTTTTCTTGAACTCCGAGAGATCTTCTTTGAGGCCTCGTCCGTGATCCTCAGAAAATGAGTCGATATGGTGTTGCTGTTGCAGTTGCTCATCTTCTGGTGAATCCCTCTTTCTATCGTTTATCCTTTCCTTTCCATCATCCTCGTCGTCGTCGTCGTCGTCATAGACTTTCAGCGAGTTCACCAAAGACCTTGTTAACCATGACATTTCGATTTCTATGCCGCAGCCGGCAGACCCCCACACATACACAGAGATCTGAGTCTGACGGGGAAAAGGAGAAGAAAATGAGTCGATAGGGGAGGCAGTTCGTGTTGTATAGTAATTGCGGGGTTTTTTAAAATTTTGGGGTAAAAGTAAATCAATCATCAATCATCAGAATCTGATAAAGTGATAGGTTTTCAATAATAACAGATAACCCCTACCATCTTTCTAAAATTACTTTACACACTTCAATTCATCTAATAAATATAGATAGCTACCCTATATTTTACTGCTGCTCTAGTCTACTACCTTGTTGTGTGGTCAAAATAGAATATTTTCATTGCCAGACTTTTACGCTGACAATTTTAGCCTTGCCAATCATGTGATGCCCTACTTCATCAACCATTCAAATCTTTTGGATTGGAATTTATCTATTCGAATTCGAACGAGAGTTAAAAAATATATATTATTTTTGGATGCAAATTTCTTCACTAATTTGTTTAATGTAAAAAAAAAAGTGAATTCTAGTCTACGGATTCGTGTTTGTATTAAAAATCATGTAACAAGAATATAACATTATCATTATAAAATTAAATCAATTTTGCTGTTTTTTTTTTTAACTAAGATATTATATCTGCATTTGTGTCAATCAATTTTGTATTTATACTCTTCCAAGGCAGGCTACAAGACGAGTAGAAGAGGTGGCATACAGAGAGTCCGGATGTAGTAAGCATAGTGAATGAGCATATAATAAATATTAAAAAGTTGATTTTAATCTTTGGCTGGGTGTATTTCAAGGAACATTGGTTGGGTGTATTTTAAGGGACAGTTACCTTTATCCGAATTAACATACAAAACTTGTAACAAAACAATAGCATTGGCCTTAAGCATATTGGCATCATTGCGGATGTCAGCTTAGAAAGCTTTGCAGCGGGGACAGAAACTTGGAATTATAAAAGATGGGGGGCCATTAAATTATGGTTTTGGCTTGACATCTACCATCAAATTCTATTCGTTTATCCAATTTTAAATTCAAATATGATCTGAATTAAATCTATTTATCATTGTGCCAAATATGGATCCACCTCTATCCAATATAATATTGGAAAAATTTCTGATCAATATTTTGAACTTTAGATATTGTCTCAAGTCAGTTTTGAATTTCAAAACGTGTCTCTACAAGCTTTCAGAATGTGTCCAATAGGTTTTTATGTGCATTACGTTAAACTTTTAAATAATAAAGAAGACAATGTTCATTATCTTGTAGTTTTGATGAGACAGAATCAAAATAGACATCCTTCACTATCAAGACCTCTAATGTTTTCTTTTGATCTTCCTCCACAAAAGTTGCATCCAACATCCAACGAACCAAAGCCCAAACCGAAAAATTTGGCAATGGAAGAGCATAGGAGAAGAAGGGGAGAGTAAACATACACAGATCCGGCCAGCATACACACCGGACAGCACGATAGCATGAGGCAAAACCAATTTCAAGTCCCCCGGATCTGCTTTGGGATCATTTTTTGGCTCCGGTCCCAACAACTACGTACCACACATGACCAAATCCCCCCCTCGAATCTACTGTTCATCGTCTTCCTCTCCCTTCGATGATAACAAAGCGATGGCGATTGAAAAACCTCTCTCCTCTCTCATTTTTCTCTTCGGTTTCTCTCTCTTATCCACCTCCCACCATCACTCATCAGCTGCATCTCTGCAATTCGCTATATGCACGTGTAAACCTCGTTAGTGTCTCAGTATTCGTCTTTAGCAAGCAGAAAGGGAATTCAGACCTACTACTTGTGCTCCCACAAATTGCTTGGTCCTCTCTCTCTACAAATGCAACTATCAACGTTGAATTTGCTTTTGAGAAATTGTGTAGATGGTAATATCATTCAACAGTGAACAACACCGAGTTCTGCCTTATTATAGTGCGGAGCATGTAGCCCGTCGTCAATTAAGGGGTTCTAGAATTGAAACCTGCATCGTCATTAATGGAGACTCGTGCCCATTAATTGAAGCTTGATGATTTCGGTCCACACCAAAAGCTCCTTCACGACACGATTCACAACTCCACCAATTGACGCCATCTCCTTCTTAAGGAACCTATTGTGTTCGATCAATTCTCCTCTACTTCTTCTTGTTAGAAATGCTCGTCGTCATGCCCCCTGCCATTACCCAATCTGAACCCATTAAAGGCTAGAGAGAGGATCAAACAAAGGGGGAGTGAGAGAGGAGAAGGGAGGGTTGATACCTGCTGGTAGAGGGAACTAATGCGGTTCCATCGTTCTACAGATGGCTGGTTCACAAGTATCCCAATGCAACAGCGGAATACACTGTTCATCTCCTCCAATCTCATGACACGGTAGCAGTATCCAGCGGCGATGAAACCCGAATCCTCCCTCAAATCCCCCTGTTTTTGCCCATTTTCTGAAGCCTAGTTCATTCTCTTTGTTCTATTTCGTTTTTCTTCCCCTCATCAGCCCCTCCCACGTCTATAGCAGCTTTGTTCATCCTCTTTTCCGATGCGAACAGAGCTCGCTCGATGATGGAAAAACAGCATTCCTCTCCCACCGTCCCACTCATATTTTACTTACATGATTTTTGTCCTTAGTCTCAATGAACAATGTCTTCTGGGGAAGGGTAGTTTTGCTATTTTCAAAATTAACTAACGGACTATTAACATAGGGACTACACACATTTTAAAAGTTCGGATACTGTACAAAGACGTTTTGAAATCCGGAGACCGACTTGAAACAGCTCTAAAGTTTAGGGTATTAATCAAGAATTTTGCCTATAATATATTAGTTTTAGAATTGTCATTGGTTTGAATATTTTACTTTTGCTAATAAAATTATGGATTTAAGTTATTTATTTGGGGTAATAGCATATAAGGGCAACTTTTGAGGTTTAATATCAATAAAAGTAATATTTTTAAAAAAATTTCAAAAATATGTTAACTTTTTAAAAATAATGTCAATAAAGGGCAAAAATACTATTCATCATCTTCTTCTTGCCATTTGTTCACCAGCGTCATCGCCTGCCACCACCTGTTGCCGCCTCTGCCTTCGACAACGTTGTCAGAGGTGGCCGGAGGCAGAGGTGGCAACGGCGACACTGATGGTCATTTCTCTGCCCAATGCCGCCACCTCCGCCCACCTCTGCCCAAYGTTGCTGGAGGTGGGTGGAGACAGAGGTGGCGACGGCGACGCTGATAGTCATTTCTCTGCCCAACGCCGTCACTTCCGCCCACCTCCACCTCCACCTCTGCCCAACGTTGTTGGAGGTGGGTGGAGACAGAGGTGGCGACGGCGGTGCTGGGCAGAGGAATGACCACCAGCGTTGCCACCGCCACCTCTGCCTCCGGCCACCTTCGGCAACGTTGCCGGAGGTGGAGGCGGAGGTGGGCGGTAGTGGACGACGGCGGCACTGGTGAACAAATGGCAAGAAGAAGATGATAAACAGTGTTTTTCCCTTTATTGATATTATTTTTCAAATGTTAACCTATTTTTGAATTTTTTTTTTAATATTACTTTTATTGATATTAAACCCCAAAAGTTGCCCTTATATGCTATTATGACTATTTATTTTGTCTTGATATACAATATAAAAGTCATTTTTAGTTCTAGTATTTGAAAAGGTAGGTCATATTGTTGTCCACATGAAGGTTTTTGTGGTATTGATAAAAGGAGAGTTAATGTAAATGCCGTGATATAACAAGAACAGGTTGTGAAGCAAAAATTAAGCTCGAGTTGCAAGGTGATGGAAAATATTGTGTAACTGAGTTTGAAGCAGCTCATAATCATCAACTTCTTACTCCAAGTAAATCATACACGCTTGGATCACAAAGGAAAATAGCTATAGCTCATGCTGCTCAACCTAATATTGCCATTGATTCTGGAATACGTCCAAAGGCAACGTTAGAATTTATGGGTAGGCAAGCCTGTGGAATTTAGAATATTGGTTTTACAATTCTTTATATATGAAGAGAAAAAACGATATGGAAAATGGAGGTGTAGGAGCAATAATAAGAAACTTTGGTAAATTGTATGAAGAGAACATATATCCTTCCACTCGGTGTAGCTTGATGAAAATAATCAAATAACCAACATATTTTGGGCTGATGCAAAAATGTTGGCTGATTCTAGTTACTTTGGAGATATTATTTGCTTTGATACTACTTTTAGAACTAATGAGGAGAGAAGACCGTTTGCACCTTTTGTAGGAGTTAACCATCATAAGCAAACCATTTTTTTTGGAGCTGCATTAGTGTATGATAAGAGTGCTGACTCTTTTAAATGGGTGTTTGAATCCTTTTTAAAGGCAATGTCTGAAAAGCAACTAAAAACAATTTGTACATACCAAGATTCTGCAATGGCAAATGCAATAAGGCAAGTCTTTCCATAAACATGCCATCATTTATGTTTATGGCACATATATCATAATGCAACTAAACATTTGAGTAATATCTTTGTTGTTTGTTCATCTTTTGATAGAAACTTTAGTAGTTGCATTTATGACCATGAGGATGAAGAGGAATTTCTTATAGCCAATACAAGAAAATCATTATTTAGAGGCATTTTCTATAGTAGCATCTATTTAAGTGCCACTAAATGTTAGTTTTAGTGGCGATTTTAAGAATTGCCATTATATATGCAGAAAAATCGCCACTAAATATATTTTCTTAGCGGTTGATTTTAAATTTCCATAAAATGCATGTATAGAACACCACTATATCTTTGTTTTAAGTGGCTTTTATGAATTTGCCATTAAAAGCACTTTTAAAGTGCCATTAAGGTGATTTTAGACTTTTAAGATATATCATTTTATTTGAACCGTTGATTTGAATTAAAATCAATGGTTTAGAATGCAAATGAAAAATGTAATAATCAGAGGAAAGAAAAAAGGCGGGGATGTAAGTTTTTTCCTCCCGCGCACATTTTCTCTCTATCCTCTCATTTTCATTCTGGAACGGACAAAAAGAACTCAAGGAAGAACTTAGTCGCACATTCTCGTTCTCAAAGCCGCACCTTAACTTCTCTCTGCCAATTCAACTCTCTTAGAGTTGAAGTCTCCCACCACACTAGTGAACAATCTCAATCGAAGAACACCTCTGCTGCTCTGATTGTCTTT